CCCTAGTACAGTGTATACTCATGTTTAAATACAAATCATTGATCACTATAGCAACCCCTTTATCACATGAAGCACATTCTAGCTCTAAGATAAAAAAGCACTTTTGAACAGAAACGCTCACACCCACTCTTCAAACGGTAAGGTGAGCATCCATGGGTTTTACCTTGTTTTATCAAGATGATTTTTGGTTTAAAAGTAGGTAAATGGCTGTGTGTGAATTGGTCTGCACGCGTTTTGATTGTTTATTTTGAATTTTTATTCTGAACGTATTAGTATCCAAACTGAACAGAAGGAACAGATGCTTCTCTTGGGAGATTTAAAAAGGGAATAAAGAGTCAATATGTAATTAATCAGACTGTTTTTCTCAATTATCATTGCTTTAGTTGTATGAAAAGTGTTGAATTGTAGGGTATCATCTAGAAATGGAATTTCCATTCTGCAAGAAATTCTGACATGATGATTTCCCCTCCCATCAAACTGAATACAGTACTTAGTTTTTTTAATTTCCAACACAACAAAATATCCAAAAAGTCAGCAGGTTTGAATAAATTGTTTGATTTTGAGAATGTCAAAAAATCCATTTTGAAAAAATTCCACTGTATGTTCAAAGTAATATGTTAAGTTGTTTTTTTACATCAAAGTAAACAAAAAAGTTTTATTAATGCCTCAAAATTAACATTAATGGAATTTAAAAAACCCACCTTTGTTTAGTTTTTCCCTATGTAGAGTTTTTGCAAATTAACAGTTTCCTGCAAAACACTTAAATATCGAGGAAACTTCTTGTTAGAAATGTTTCAACAAGTGCTGTTGCTTACTAGGTTGTATGGGGAATATTGCACAAAATGAGGCAATTAGCATGCACTGACTTTCCAAGAAACAGTGGGATCCTTACTTTGCAGAGCAGCTGCCTACACTTGCAAGCACGGGTGAGGAGGATAATGTTTTTAAATAGAGTTGAGATCACAGAGGCAGCTGAATTCCAATGGAGGTTTTACTTCTTCCTTCTCTTTGCAGGAACACGAGGAAGTGAACAGAGTACCAGCTCATCGTGGTGCTCATGAGCCCATCTGTAAATGTGGTGATCTAGATGTCGTCTTCAACTATAAAGCCTCAAGTCAAAAGCTAGAAGTTACTATCTTGGAGGCCAGGGATATCCCAGACAAAGACCGCAGTGGTGTGAGCACCTGGCAAGTGCACACAGTCCTGATGCCTAGCAAGAAACAGAGGGGTAGGACAAGTGTTCAGAGAGGACCCATCCCCATGTTCAAGGATAAAATTACTTTCAGTAAGCTGGAGCCAGAGGAGTTAAGCAGCCACGCCATTCGTTTCCGCCTCTATGCGGTGCAGAAGATGGTTGGAGAGAAGATGATGGGAGAGCAGTTGTTCTACCTGAGCAACGTCAACCAGGAAAGGGAAGTGAAGGTGACATTGGTTTTGGAACCAAGGAGTAATTTGAGCGTAAGTTTGATGAAAGAAATACGGAGTCCTTGTTCGTGTGGTGAATGGGGACCAGCTGTACCTGGTATCTTTCATTCAGGGCTGTTAGCATGCAACTGGTGGATCTGCCCTACTGTCACTTAAATGGTTATTTTTTTTTCCTACACAAAGCTGTGCCCTATTAGCAATGGCTCAACTAGCAAGCTTACACAAAATCATGTAGATGTACTACAGCTACACAAGTCATCAAATGCTGTGCCATGTAGAGATAGTAGGTTGGTCCTGCAACCACGAAGGCTGATTACTTCTTAACTTCGACAAGGACAGTGGTTCTTGTGCGTCGTTATGTTGGTGGACCTGTACTGTTGCCAGTGCAAGAACTATCTCGTTTGGCACTACTAGCTTGTGGATCTCTGCCTTGTGCAGTTTCCATGTTACCAGAAATGCTTAGTAATGTTCCTTTTCGTGACAGATGGAAGTGGACAGGTGGGTCATGTGAGGAGGAACTGGCTGTGTAGCTTCATAATCTTACATGCACATCACAGCTGTATCCAGCTCTGGCTATGCCAATCAATTTGTGTAGATGAGGTCTGTCATGATTCATTGTCTACAAAAAGCTCAGTGAGACGTCGTGCACACAAAATGAATAAAACATCATACTCTGGGTGAAGAGGGGGTAGAGAGAGCATCATGGTAGCAGGGAAAGAAAGTAAGAGAATGCATAGTACATGACCAAAAAAACCCAAACTGCAAAACACATTCCATCCAAAAATCATTGTCAAGGAGATTTACTGTGCATTTGATGTAGTGGGATGTATGCTTATCTCAGAGGCTTTGATTTACACTGGTGATAACACATTACACAGAGTTCCTCATCTTTAAAGGGGAAGTTGAGAGATGTGTTTTTGTACAAGTCATGCTCTGATTCTTCTGGTGCGCCATCATAATTCATTCTTAGTCATTGCTGTTTCTTAGGAGAGATCTTACTAAACAAGGCTGCAAGATATAAATTAAGGGAGGGTGGTGG